CCATGCTTCTTTTCTTAGGTAACTACTGGGGTGTGTGCTCTACCAAAACAACAGAATATACTGAGAATGAGAAAGACACAGACTCCAATTGAGGAGAGAAAAGAAGGTCCAAAGATGGGGGAGCAGCAGGATTAGACAGCAGCCTGCTGGCATTTAAGCAGACATAAAAGGCTCTAGGAGTTCCAGGAGGGGATTGATTGCAAAGGGCATGGCAGAACTTTTCAGGGGAACAGCTATATTCTCTCTCTCTATATACGTTTTTTTTTAATTTTTATTTATTTATTTTTTAGAGACAAGGTCTATGTTGCCAAGGCTGATCTCGAACTCTTAGCCTCAAGCGATCTTCCTACCTTAGCCTCCTGAAGTGCTGGGATTACAGGCATGAGCTACCACACCCAGTCTACATCTTGATTTTGGTGAGATTTCACTGTATACAATAACCACGTGTCCAGTGGCGGAAACTTATTGAAGTTGGCCGGCACGGCGGCTCACACCTGTGATCCTAGCACTTTGGGAGGCTGAGGCGGGAGGATCACTTGAGGCTGGGAGTTAGAGAGCAGTCTGAGCAACATAGCGAGACCCTGTTTCTACAAAAAATACAAAAAATTAGCTGGGTGTAGTTGTGTGTGCCTGCAGTCCCAGCTACCCGGGAGGCTGAGGCAGGAGTATTGCTTGAGTTCAAGAGTTTGAGGTTGCAGTTAGCTATGATGATGCCACTGCACTCTAGCTCAGGCAACCAGGAGACACCCTGTCTCAAAACAAAAACAAAAACAAAACAACTTATTGAGATGGGATCCCATTCTGTCACCCAGGCTGGAGTGCAGTGGTGCAATATCTCATTGCAGCTTCAAACTCCTGGGCTCCAGTAGTCCTCCCACTTCAGCCTGACCTTTAAGCTACATACATGTTTTTGCTTTGATAAATACAAGATTACAATTTTTTAAAGCAAGAAAATTTTTGGAATAACAATCTAGTCTAGTAGAGGTAAAATGTTTGTAATACCCAGAAAGCCTTGGACCAGTAGAAACGAAAGTTCGCTCCAGTCACTGTTTCTTTAGCTCTTTCAGTCCATTTTGGATGAGAATAAGGAAATTTAATGCAGCAGTGAAAATAACAAATTACAGCTACACACAACAATATGATGATTCTTATGGACATGGTGTTGAGTAGAAAAGGCTAGATTCTAAGAAAATGTACACTAACTAGGCAGAGGCTAGACTGATGTGTTCTTATGACAATTTATTGAGCTGCCTGCTATGACTTGGGTACTCTTCTGTGTGTACATTATACTTCTTTAAAGGATACCATATGATGCTATTCACTAGGTTCCCCCAAAGGGGCAAAACCAAACTATAGTTTAGGCATACACACAAAGGTAACAGAAAAGGGCTTGTGATCAGGAGTGGGCACGATTGGGAACCACAATCAGGGCCTTCTGCAGTGCCAGTAAGTTCTATTTCTTGGCCCAGATGGTGCACATACAAGCCTTTGCTTTATAACTCTGCTAAACTGAATATATAAGTTTTATGCACTTAGACAAACAAATTTAGTAGATTCAAACCAACCTAAATGTTTATCAGTAGGGGACTATTTAATTATAACAGTCATGTAAAGTATAAAGCACCATTTAAAACGAGGCAGCTGTGATCCTATATGTTTATAAGGCCCTAATATTCAAATTTTGTCCTAAAATGACAAAAGCTATTTTTGAAATTAAAAAAATAAAAATAAAATGATAAAAGCCATGTTAGAAATGAATCTGAGGCCAGGTGCAGTAGCTCACGCCTATAATCCTAACACTCTGGGAGGCTGAGGCGGGAGGATTGCTTGGGGTCAGGAGTTTGAGACCAGCCTGAGCAACATCGAAATCTCCATCTTTACTAAAAATAAAAAATAAAAATAAATGAATCTCGTAGGATACTGCTTATGTGTGTATGCATATATGTGTATACGTATATTTTTACAACATATTTCATGTATGTTATATGTAATAATATATATGCAGAGAAGGTCTGGAAGAATACACAAGAAACCAGTCAGTGCTGCAGGGAGGAGACTAGGACAGGACCTCTTTTTCACTTTTGAATTCTGCATCACATGCATTTGTTACTATTCAAATTTTAAAAAGAGATAGTTTATTTTTGAAAATACTTGTTTATTACATGGTTCTCTCCAGATTTTATTTCTAGGCTCACCATTATTGTAAAGCTCTTTGGCAAAGAAGAGGAACAGGCATTCAAATGTGGCTGGCCCCCCACAGCCATGTTGATTGCACAGAGATTTTTCTCAGAAAACATTTCTATATATCATGAACCTGGCACTGAGTTAGGGACAAAATCTAAGTCCTTGTTGAAGGGGATGTCAGCAAGGTGGGGTGAGAAGGAAAGAATAGACAAGGAGACCATTTGCTGTCACTGAAATTTCTCTTCATGTCTTTTAATTTTTTTTTATTTCAGCATATCATGGGGGTACAAATGTTTAGGTTATGTATGTTGCCCTTCCCTCCCACCCCTGAATCAGAGCTTCAAGCATGTCCATCTCCCAGATGGTGCAAATCGCACTCATTATGTATGTATATACCCATCCTCCCAATGAATGTTATTCCTATATGTGCACTTAGGTGTTGATCAGTTAAAACCAATTTGATGGTGAGTACACGTGGTGCTTGTTTTTCCATTCTTGGAATACTTCACTTAGTAGAATGGGTTCCACCTCTATCCAGGACAATACAAGAGGTGCTATATCACCATTGTTTCTTGTAGCTGAATAGTACTCCATGGTATACATATACCACATTTTATTAATCCACTCACGTATAGATGGGCACTTGGGTTGTTTCCACATCTTCGCAATTGTGAATTGTGCTGCTATAAACATTCGAGTGCAACTCACGGTAGATAACAGACTTAAACCTAAGGCGTGAAACTATTAGAATTCTAAAAGAAAATGTTGGAAATACTCTTCTGGACATTGGCCTATGCAAAGAATTTATGAAGAAGACCCCAAAGGCAATCACGGCAACAACAAAAATAAATAAATGGGACCTGATCAAATTAAAAAGCTTCTGCATAGACAAAGAAACTATCATGAGAGCAAACATACAACCTACAGAATGGGAAAAATATTCGCATGCTACATATCCGATAAAGGGCTGATAACTAGAATCTATTTAGAACTCAGGAAAATCAAGAAGAAAAAATCAAACAACCCTATCAAAAAGTGGGCAAAGGACATGAACAGAAACTTTTCAAAAGAAGACAGAATAATGGCCAATGTAAAAAAATGCTCACCATCTCTAATCATCAGGGAAATGCAAATCAAAACCACAATGAGATACCAGTTATCCCCAGTGAGAATGGCCTTTATCAAAAAGTGTCTTTTAATTTTGCTGTTCTCTGTCTTTATAAGATAGGGTTAAGTCATGTTCCTTGTCTTGACAAGTCTTAGAAATCACCTAGAAAACTTATTGTGGCTGGGTGAGGTGGTTCATCTGGGAGGATTGCTTGAGGCCAGGAGTTTGAGACCAGCCTAGGCAACATAGTGAGACCCCAGTCTCTACAAAAAATAAGAAAAATGAGCTGAGTGTGGTGATGTGTCCTCGGGAGGCTGAAGCAGGAGGATTGCTTGAGCCCAGGAGTCCAAGGCTGCAGTGAGTTATGATGACACCACTGCACTCCAGCCTGGGTGACAGAGTGAGACCCTGTCTCAAAAAAACAAACAAACAAACCGAACAGAAAAAACAAAAACAAAAAACCCCACATATTTTATAAACTAATCCCAGGACTAGACAAAGGATTCAGTACTTTGGTGGTAGACTCTTCAGCTTTCTACACCTCTGCCGTTCTTCTGTTCCTTCTCAGATCTCAGGAAGGCACAGGTAAGCTCCTAGGGAGGTGGGCTGCTCACATCTCTGCTCTGTGCAAAATGCATCAATGACTGAAAACCCAAGAGATCGTGCAGCTGAGGTGCTGAGAGCCCCAAACAGCAGCGTGTGGGAAAAGCAGAGGGCGTTTCACAACACTGATCGGACAAGTTTCCGTTCCTTGCTAAAGACGGAAGTACTGGAGAGGAGGAGAAGCTGAAAGCTTACTTGTGTGCAGAAAGAAGCCTTGCCTACTGCTCGTTTGATTCCATTTATCTGTGGTTATGTTTTGAAAATAGTTTCTGAAAAGATGGCTGCGCCCAGGCCAGTTGAGCCAAGCTTGCAGTGAGCCCTGACATGGCTGAGGAAGACCACAGAAGGCAGCGGCTCCTGGGAGAAGGAGAGCATGAGGCTCAAGACGGAAAATCATAAACCAGATGACACTATCAAGGAAAACGCAACCACTTTCAATATCATAACCGGAAAACTGAACTCGCTTCCAGAATCAGAAAGGAATTTACTTGAACATGGATCAACATATATCGGACTTAATGCTGCTCTCTGTGGCCTAATAGCAAACAGTCTTTCTCAATGCGTCTTGAATGTGACACAGGCTCGTGTCACAGCAGCTCATGCTGCTGGCTTATCAATGGCAGTGACCCCATTTTTGACAGCACATGTAGCTTACAAAAGTTTTGTAAGTTTACCTTTGAATACAGGTGATGTGAACTGTGAAACCTGTAACACGGGGTGGACTGCTGGGTCTTGTTTTTAGTGGTTTGTACCCTGTTTTCTTGGCTATACCTGTAAATGGTGGCCTTGCAACCAGGTATGAATCAACTCTGCTACAAGAGAAAAGAAACAACTTATTGGACTAGAATTTCTAAGCTCGTCTTTAGAAAGATGTTATTGCCCATAACATATTTTAGACAATATAAACCACTTATAAAGGTCCTTCGATTACCTGAACCTGGCCTAGAAATTCACTGATTTGAAGCAGATATGTACACAAAGATAAAATGGTAAAAATAAAAAAAAAAAATAAGGAAAGAAAATTGTTTCCTAAGGAAATTCTTCCAGGCATTTCACCAAACAGCTTTTTTTTTTTTTTTGAGGGGGGAGTTTTGAAAGATTTAGGTCATCTTAAGGGACAGAGGTTCAGAAGCATTTCATTGTTGCAGTGATCCAAACCCATGTACGTCACGTCTTCATCAAAATCCCATTTGCTGCTCTTGCCTGGCAGGGAATACTGCTGGTGAGGATGGGAGCTGTAGGTGAGGAGAAAGGGGTCTTCCTGAGGCGAGTGGTATGTGGGGGACTGCAGGTAGCTGTTAAAATCCACATGTACCTTCTCTTCATAAAGATTACCTCCTGGATTTGGCCACAATGGGTGACAGCCAGTTTTGGTTGCAGGTGGTTCCAATGGAATCTGCTGGAAAAAAGGTTCTGAAGAGTTCTGGGAAGGAGAGAAGTTGCAAGCCCAGCTGGTCAGAGGAAAAGGGTAATTGGGATAGCAGTTTTCACTAAGAGAATTTTTCCCCAAAGCAGCATTTTTATTCCAGGTTTGCAGATCGTTGTAATCCGCGTAGACTCCGGAGGCAGAAGGCTGAAGCAGGTCTCCACCGCTGTAGGTCCTGCTAGTGGGCGATTTGCATTTTTCATAGAGCTTAGCGGGGTCCAAGGTAGAAGTCTGGTCGGCCAGATCGGTGGTTCCTCCTGAACCATAACTCTTGGAGAGGGATAGGCTGTCATTTAGGGACTTCTGCTGGGGAGCGTTAGCTATTAAATGTCCACTGTAACTACCAGGTAATTGGACGCCTTCCTGGAAAGACCAAGTTAAAGGTAAACTCCCTTGGCTTTGTGTCTCACCTGGAAGAGACTAGAAAGGAGAATGAAATACTCATGTTAATAAGTTAAGAGAATCAACACCACTACCATAGGTGCCCGTGAGTTATTCTGTACAAGTCAGTGTTCCCCCAGCTCTTCCTCATTCCTTGCATGCTTGAAGCGCAGACACACAGTGCAGCCTCGCCACAAGATAACACAAGAAGTAAAAGCTGCCTCCACTTCCATTTTAGAGCTTACTGAGAGCAGTTAGAGCCCAGTTCTCCCTCACTCTGTGGAGATATGAGCATGTTTAAGATGTTTCACAGGCCGGGCGCGGTAGCTCACGCCTGTGATCCTAGCATTCTGGGAGGCCGAGGCGGGAGGATTGCTTGAGCTCAGGAGTTCAAGACCAGCCTGAGCAAGAGCAAGACCCTGTCTCTACTAAAAAAAAAAAATAGAAAGCAATTAGCTGGACAACTAAACATATATAGAAAAAATTAGCCGGGCATGATGGTGCATGCCTGTAGTTCCAGCTACTTGGGAGGCTGAGGCAGGAGGATCGCTTGAGTCCAGGAGTTTGAGGTTGCTGTGAGCTAGGCTGATGCCACGGCACTCTAGCCCAGCCCAGGCAACAGAGAGAGACTCTGTCTCAAAAAAAAAAAAAAAAATGTGTTCCACACTCAAACGCAAATCTGACATCCGTGACTGCCTTTTCAAGAAACTTATAAGGAGCTCTTTCAGAAAAATCAAACTACTACTTTAAAGATTTACATGATACTCAGTACAACTCTTCAGGGGTCTCTCTCCCACCATTTCCCTCTTTGACTTTTCTGTTTCTTGGTGCTGGTTGGAGTCTAAGAGACCAGGATTGTTGTTGGTTTGTTTTTTGTTTTCTCCTCAAGAGACTTTCCTTTGGACTCATGGGAATTTTGTTGAACCATAAATGGGACCTCTAGTGCATGAAGTGGTAAGTTATTTTTACAAATGGAGGAGGTATATTGTTCTCTACTTAATCATAGGAAAAGAATCTGGTTGAGAATTAAGTTATGTTCTTATTTAAGTAAAACTGTCAGCTAAGAAGAGGATAGTTTTCAAGGGTGGAGAGAAAGGGCTGTAACCAGATAGAGTGGATGGGAAGAAATGCCCTTTGACTTGTCTCGTGGCTGGGAGAAAGGACAAGAGAACAGCCATTTGGGTTTGGGGGCTCACATTTCCCTACAACAGACCCAAATTACAATTTTTTTTTTCTTGAAATGGGGTCTTGCTCCGTCGCCCAGGCTAGAGTGCAGTGTCATCGTAGCTCACTGCAGCCTTGAACTCCTGGGCTGAAGCGATCCTTCCGCCTCAGCCTCCCGAATAGCTGGGATTGCAGGTGTGAGCAACCACGCCCGGCCTATAAATTTTAAGGTACATTTAGAGCCACCAGGGATGGACCAGCTCTATTTCTATTCTCCTAAAAAGAAGTGTGGAGCTTTGAATAGTAGAAAAAGTATAGGAATTTCTACCACTAGTAAGCATACAAACCCACAAACCTATGATACGCTACCCCATAAAGCAATGGACTTCACATCCCAGTTTATCTACAGGAAGTAGCCTCCACCCCATCACTGCCTCCCTGGGATGGTCATCATTTTCAGAAACTTCTTGCTTATTTCATCTTGGTAGAGTGAGCTAAACAAATAATCTGTTTCGGGGATGTACAGAAAATTTTTAGGGAAAAAAAGCATGAGGCTAATTTTGTGGAAATCATTTCAGCGCCAAGTATAGCTTAAGTACTAATTCAAGTTTCTCTTTTTAATTGTAACAGGGAAGATGATGCTACAATTACATGGAATTTGTGGTTGAGAGCATGCTATAAGGATGGTAGAAATTAAGAGTGAAACCTCAGATGCAATTTCTTTGGTGGAAGCTTGTTTGTAGACAAGCCTGATAGTCTGTAATTTTTGGCTTTCATTAGTTAGCAGGAGACCGGGGAAACCTGCCACCCCCACTGTAGGGGTGGCAAGCTGATGTGTGTTTTGAACATACAAGACGAAAAGTCACCTTTGTCCCTGGGCTCCCCTTCAGGTGCAGGGAGACGGAGGAAGACGCCGTGTGAGCTTTCTTCATGGCTCTTCTGGCCTCAGCTTCCAGCTTGGTTTCTGGTTTTGGATGATCATGTTCTCCCTTTGACTTAAAGGAGACAAGGAAACAATGTAATCAATAACTGGATTGTGCTTCATGGCGTGTAAGTTTTCACTCCGTGTCCTGTCACAGGACTGGGGCGCAGCAGTGGCCTATTATAGCAAGATGGAGTGAACCTTGGAAGAAGCCCCCAAGCCCTCCTGCATGTCCCTGTGGTTCCTGTCACCCACCCAGCAAAGCCACACTCACAGTGGTGAGGAACACCTGTGAAATCCTTCCTGTGGTATGGGCAGGAGCTAATAAACACCCTGCGTGCCTAATCCCATTTCATCTTCAGCACAAACCTTGATATATACACCATTATTATCACCCCAAGTTTACAGAACAGGAAACTGAGGCATGGAGAGACTACAACACCTGGGTGACCTCTCCTAGTAGGGAAGGACCTAGATTCCCCTACGTGGGGCTGGCCATGCTGAAAATCATTGTTAAACACTCAGGAATTTTGTGAGCTGATTGTTGAAAAGGGCAGGTAGCTTGTACGCAGCCGTGGGGGGAATAGAATCTATCACAGAAATTGGCAAACACTACCAATCAGGACGTTTTCTTTTTGGAGAGCTGGTTTACCACCACCGCACTGATTCAAACCCAGGCAGGCTGAGCCAGAGTCCCTTCACCACTGTCTACACCACTGCCCCGTTAGTACTTCTTGCACATTTAACAGAAAACTGGGGCTTGGGGGAATGTAACTTGCCCAGGTTTAAAGAGCTAGTTAAAAATTAGAGCCGGTATTCACACTCAGGTTGTCAAAGGCTACCAGCGGCTTGCGCTGGAGTGTGATCGGATTAGCTGTTGCCTCTCTTGAGTTGCTGGAGGCAGAGTCAGCCTGTCCCTAGCGAGCACGGGAAACTTCTATTGAAGTGTGCGGTACAGATGTTTGCTCTCCCAGAGTGTGGGCTCTCAGGGCTGGTGCAGTATCTCATTCACCCGTGTATCACTAGCCTCTGATGAAACTCCTCCGTAAGGAAACTCTGCAAACATTTGTCATATTACAGAGAAACAGAATCACATAACTAACTCAAATCCAACCTGGAAAAATATAAAGCGTCCGTCGTGCCTCCAGAAGTTGGTGACTGGGAACCCCCCGTGGCCTCGGCAAGGAATTAGCTTCAGAGGTCCATCGCAGTGGGGACAGCGTTTCCCTGCAAAAGAGCAGAGGAAGATGACCATACCCAGCCGAGCCATGTCGGGTGACTCCTTAATCTGTGCAGCCCTGACAATTTCAGCCTTGACTCCGGGATGGCAGAAAACAAACCTGGCAGTTTTATGGGCTTCCATCCACCTCCAGTCCTGGGGGCCTGACCGCCATAATGGCCTAGATCAGTCTTACACATGAACGGAGTAAGCAGTTGCCTACCAAGTGGGGTATTTCACAGGTCAGGGAAGAGCTCTTTTGAGCAGAAACCTCACCCTACTTATTTACCGATATTTGACATTCTGTGTAGAGAAGAGAAAAAATTCTTTCATTTCACAATTAGAACTAAAGGTCAAGGGGCAAAGCCACATGGGAGAGACAACACAGCTACTAAATTTTCACTAAAGTGTAAGTGACTGATACCAGGTCCTTCCCTGAGAGCAGGTTTTGAAGACAAATTACTAGGAAGAACACGAAGTAACTTGAGATCTGAAGGGGGCAAGGCACAGGGAACACTGAATGTATCTATTTCACAGTCCAGTGAATGTGACAAAAAAAAAAAAATGAATAAATATCGTAGCATGTGATTAGGACGTGAACCTAAACGGATGGAACCGAGTCTAACCTTCCATTTAGTGTCTCTGCTGCCTTTCCGGATGAATGCGTGCATTGAGATCACTTAGGGTCAGGTGGCGAGTCTGATAAACTAATTTCCCTAAACATGAGTGACTGATGGATTAATGTTACTCCCTAACACCTTCCTTTCAACAGGGGCCTTGAGTCAGGTGCCTTAACCCAAGGGAGCAGCCTTGATGGTGGGTGGTCTGAACATGGCAGCTCTGTGGGGCAGATCCTGGGACACCGGGGATCTGGCTGGTTCCCCTCAACATGCTCTGTGTCAGAACAGCCTTGGTCTCCACTACATTGCAGGGTGAGGGTGGGGCCCTTGGGATGTGCTGGGATGCAGTGGCCCGTCTGGGCAGGGGCATCAACAGATTCCAGCTTCCTTGTCAGCGCCGCCAACCCCCACTCACGCTGCTGCTTCTGCCGGGCTTTGTCGCAGATGGCAGGTCGCAGGTAGATCTTGCGCCCCTCCTCTACAGAGCAGTCGTGGCCGCACACCACCACGCCCAGGCAGGACTTCTTGAGGATGCGGGAGTTGTGGTTGTTCGTGTTGCGCATGGCCCAGCTGCTCAGGTGCCGCTGCGCGTTCTTGTCCTCGGAGCTGTAGATGTGCTTCGCGTAGGAATCTGGCCACTCCTGGAACGAGTCGGTCTTTTTCACGTTCTGCCAGAAACAAAAAGAATACTGTTAGAGTTTAAGCTAGAAAACACAACTGGCAACCACTGTGGACTCGGTGGACATGAAGGATGCCTTGGCACTCAAGAGCTGGGCGAGAGGCCTTTGGCAAAGACCTACCTGAACTGAACTCTGACGGTGGGGTCTGTGAGCACAGCACAACAGCAGCAAAGTGACTGCTGTATCTATCAGGCATTTGGTCGCTCGACCAAAACGAGTCATAGCCCCCCTGAGTTCTGCCTGTTTGAGGTTTTCTCTAGCCCTCAGTAATGAATGAGCATTTCTGAGGGTGAACTAATGTTATGCTCGTATACAATAACTGTGGAAAACATTGTGGTGTGATGGTGAGGTAGTGTCTGGTACCACACCACGGTCACCTTGTTGGGAATCCTATGGGTTCATGTGGTCACTGAAGATAAGCAGAGGGAAGAACAGAGAGCCCTGCTTCAGAGAGGTCCCGAGGGCCACTTATTTTCCGTGGAAATTTTCTTCTTTTTCTCTACGCCTGTATTCATGTGCCTCAAATGTAGCAGAGGAGTAAGAAGAGCTTATTATGACCAGAAGTTTCTTGTCCAGGACTGGCACTATTCCCCAGGCATGAACATCTGCCTAAATTCTCCCTTAAAAGGTCAGAAGACAAGAGGAGCTGTTCAATGGACAAGGTTTCAGTTTGCAAGGCGCAAAACTTCCAGGGATCTGTTGCACAACAATGTGCATATAGTTACCACCACTGTACCGTACACATAAAAATGGTTAAGACGGTAAATTTTATGTTGTGTTTTTGACCATAATAAAAATAAAAGTTCAGGAATGCAGGACACTTAATTCTCATAGCATAAGTTGTTTTGCTTTCTGTGAAGACTAAATATGATACGTAAAATACCTAGCACAGCACCTGGCGTGCTGTGAGTTCTAATTGTTAGTCACCGATGGTGTGGTTCATATTTCTAGGCCCCATATTGGTCCACAGATGCAGCATTTGACAGATCCTGCCTGGTTCTTAGGACAAGAATCATCAGGCAATCTCAGCAGTCAAACTTAGGCTGTGTCTATCACCCGTGGCTGGCAAGGTATGAGAACATTTTTCATCTAGAAGATTCTAGAAGGCCAAAGTAGAAGACTCTAGAAGGTCCAGAAGGAGAGATCAAGGTGCCTCTCCTTTGTTTTCCCAAAAAGAAAGCACAGCATAGAATTTGAAAAAAGAGAGACAAATTTTAGAAGGAAAAAGTAAACATCAATGTTGGGATGGATGGGCATTTATTGAGTTCGACTTCAAGTGTAGAACGTGCCAAAGAACTTTGTAACATGAGAATCTGGGCAAGTGGCTTTGTCTCCGAAGTCTCATTTTGCTTCTCTCTAAAATGGGGACATTGATAAAACCTGCCTACAAAAGTGCTGTGAAGAACAGATGAGTTGTAAACTGTCAGTCTCATATCATGATATTTGTTTGAATGGAATGTCACAGGGACTGAGACGGTCTAGGAAATATAAATGAGAGGTTTTATGTACATGCAAGGTAGTACTCTTTCAAGAGCCACAGTCTACAAACTAGGGTCAGTGGTCCAAATCTAGCCCACTGCCTGTTTTTGTAAATAAAGTTTTATTGAAACATAGCTAGTTCATTCATTTAAGTGTTGTTTTTGGTTGCCTTTCCACCACCACAGCATAGTTGAGTAGTTGTAGCAGAAAGACTATATGTCCCACGAAGCCTCACGTATTTACTATCTGGCTCTTTACAAAAAGTTTGAGACTCCTGGCCATGAGCATCGACTCTGGAGGCTTATTGCTTGGGTGTGAGTTCTAAGGAAGTTCCTCTCTGCTCAATGCCTCCATTTCCTGCTCTATAAAATGGAGGTTACAGAAGCACCTCATGGGGATGTTTTGAGGATTGACTGAATTAACATACACAAAGCACTTGAAACAGTGCCTGGCTCCACCTCAGTGCTAGCTATTGCTCTGCTAGATCTGGAGCCACACACAACC